CCAACTAGAAAACATCCCGAATAAGTCCTCCACCAGTCTCTCGCTAGTCCACGAAGCTGGAGTGTAGCATATCGAACCCAATGTGACTCAGCTAACCCAACCACCTCTAGTAACTCTTGGCAGGTAGTTAGAAACTAATGAGCGTCCTCGCTCTTCCCACCCTGAAACTGAGGTGGGTCCATCTTTTCAAATCTCTCATACCTACACTGCTCATCCTCTGTCAGAACAACCATCGATGCAACTTGACCCCTAACTGCTGGTGCAATATCATTATGAACCGCGGGATCTACTGGTAGTTGCCCCACCGCATCCTGAGCAACCGGAGCTTGTTGCTGCTCTTGGGTCTGAGCCCCCTCTCTAGTACGAGAGTCATGTGGTGTGGTAGTTGCACCACCACCCTGAGAAAATCCCTCTAGAACACTTAACACCCTCAATAGCGTATCCTGAAGCAAAGGTGTGACTACAGGATCTGGAGGAACCTGGTCCTCTCTGTCATCAATCTGAGGTTCGGTAGAGACCTCTCTAGCACTACCTCTCAGTGGTGTTGCTCCACGTCCACGGCCTCTGGTTACTGTCGCACTACTAGCACGACCTCTAGCTCGAGATCTACCCCTACCACTAGCTGGGGCCTCAACAACTACCTCAGGAAGTGCCTCCCCTCTACCACCAGTAACATTAGTTCTAGTCCTCGTCATCTGTCAAAAGAGTATACAACAACTCAGTACTAAAAAAGGTGACTACGCACTATGAGAAATAATGAACAAAAAGGAAGTTTCCTAAAAGTCACTATAGCCTCTCAAAGATAAGTACAGACGTCTCCGTACCGATCATCGAGACTCTATTTAGACTCGACTTGTACACACGTGAGACCTATGAACCTAGGGCTCTGATACCATTTTGTCACGACCCAAAAATAGGTGTGATGGCACTTGTCTTATCCCACCAAGACAAGTCAGCCTAAAACTCAATATCTAACAAAGTGCGGAAGTAAATGACAATCCAACAACAATTTCTAGTATGAAACCAAGTCATATTAATTCAATACTTAAAACCAGGTTGTCACGTGCACAAGCCTCTAATGTAAACATTAGAATTGAAACAAAATAGAAGTCTAACATGAAGTTGTCTTTCAAATAAAAACAAAATCATAAACTGGAGTAGGAAAGTTCGCTGAGATGACAAGCAGCTACCTCACAATCCTCCACAAGATGCCTCGGAAACGAAGAGAATAGAAAGTATCACAAAGATTCGGGCTCGTAACCTACAAAAGTTTGTAGAAGCAAGGGGTGAGTACCAAACCACGCGGTACCCAACAAGCAAACCTCTAAACACAAGTTAAGTGAATAAAATACGGGTACTCCTTACACCCTATCTAGACCTCCATGCTACAGTCTAACAGTTTACAGTTTACCAAACACACAACTCAATAACCACACTCTATCAGTTTACACATTCTCAATAACAACTCAATATTCAACAGTCACAAACTTCACAGAGAAACACTCACAAGATCAGCAAAACACATGTTCAAGTTCATCAATAATAAAATGTGCAATGCCATGAGATGCGATGTCAAGTATAGTGATGCATGTCTTCCCTAACGATACACACCCGCTGTCTCTCAGTCCGGGACCCATGGGGGACATATCTGTCCATGCATCTGTCGCGGTGCACGACACGACCCTCGATAATAGTAACCATCGCGGCGCGCGATACGTCCCTCGAAATATAATATCCATCGCGGCGCGCGATACGACCCTCGAAAATAGTACATCATCCTCTACCACAACTATGTCTCAGATACCATGCAATGACATGCTCAAATGGAAAGGAGGAGATAACCATTTGATAACAAAGCACAATTTACAACAAGAAATACAACACCAACAAATAAACAACAAGTCTCCAAATCATTCTCAACATCACACAAGGAAATACACGAATTTCGTACGCTTAACAAGAGTTTAGAAATCCACTTGCCTCAAATAGTAGAACAATCACTTCGGAACTTGAGTCTTCCCTTTTTGTTGAACTTCCAACTCAAAACAATCTATTCAAATAAGTAACCACGATAAGGTTTTTGAAACTAACAATACCTATATGTTTATCTTAGACCCAAAACTTCACCCAAATTTATAATAAAGTCCCTAAGTCTTGATGCCAATTAATATTCCAACTCTCATATTTATCAAATTCAAGAAAAGGTTAAGACTACAACTTTAATTGCTTTTATATGATATAATTCATCTGATATTTAATTACCTATGTCAATATATCAAAACTTAAAATTATAATGTGATAAAGAGAAAAATAAAATAAAATAATAAAAAAAAATATAACCAAATTAGTGACCGAAATAATTTGCAGATTATTATCACCTTACCCTCAAAACTACCCTTTCATAAGGCCATTGATGGCCAACCACATGTCATGGTTCTCCACTAACATCCTTATATGTATACTAATAATAATAATAATAATAATAATAAATAACATATACTACTATTCTGAAACAAATTCTAACTTTCCAGTTTGTTATTTAACCCACTTCACATATCAATTCTTTCCCCACATTTTGTTTTTCCTATAATTTAATTGTGAACATAATACAATAATCATAACAATAATGATAAAGAATTTGGAGAAACACTAAAATCAACCTACATACTAACATGTATATAAATTAAAGGCAGTAACTTTATTCATCTTTTAGGAACAATTTGCAACACTTTTGATGTGGGCCAAAACACCCCTCTATCACCTTATGACTACTTATAACCATCCCAATAATTAGACCAAACAATTATCCACAACAACATGTCCCCCAATTTCCAAGAAGTCACGTGTAACAACAATAACTTTGAAAAGCAATATGCCACTCTTTATTCTCACCTTAGAAAACATATGAATTGCCTCATAAATTTTCATTCATTACGAAATTGAAAAGTTACAAATTGAAATCTCACCTGGATGCAGTTTGCAAATTTCCGATGCCAAACCCTTGTTCGCTTCTTTTCCTTTTTTTTCTTTTCTCAATTAATTATGTATTAAAAGTGATAAATTTTACTCACTTATTTTTATTAAATATAGGCTAAAGGGTATAGGGTCTTAAATAAATTATCACTTTAGCCCATAAACTATCGATTAATTAACTTAAGTTAAATAAATTTAAAAAAAAATTTTAAAGAGGAGTTTTTTTTTTGGGTCATTACATCGTGTTTCTGCCACTCACTCACAATCAGGCCTACTTTAAACATGTTTGTTACCAAGAAAGCAGTCATTGATTTGATCAGAGTGCGTAAGTCAAGCAGCTATAGGCACTCCCATAGTAATATTCTTAATGAATGAATTCCGTCCACAATGACTCATCACTGAGGAACTCATCCACAAACACTCGTCACTTTTCTAGCTTCCTAACTAACATTACTAGTTTTAGAAGTGACAAACTAAAACATAAAGGAACCAAGAAACGCTGATATATGAAATGCATTAAATAAATACAAAATTATGAGGATACCTTTGTTGGCACTGAACTATATTTTCTTTGTTTGCTAATCAGTTTCCAAAAGTATAGAATTATAACAACTTAAAAACTACAATGAGTCCAAACTAAAAATTATACATATATCTTAACTACAGACCAAAAACAATGTAAGATCATCAAATAGAATGATGGAGGCTGGTTTGCCTTAAAAACTCACTCAATCAATGGCATGACTTGCGGACAATTGAGTATCGATGTGCTTGACGTTTCAAGTACTGACACATACTTTGTGCTACATATTCTCTTCATGTAGGTTCGGGTTCTCAACTTCCAGATCATGCTTAGATCGATCGGTTCCCGATGTTCAGTTCATGCTGAGTCCTCATTCTTTGAGGAAAAGTGACATGATTATTTCCCTTCGTTTTTAGTCTTTAGTTTGATTATTTGCTAAATCTAAAGGCTTATTCAAGACATAGCTAGATTTAGCTATAGTTTGTTTGAGTTTGACTTTCGGTTGTGTTAAAACTCTTAGTTTTCTTATATATTCAGTTTTAGAATGGGTATTCTTTAGTTTTGATAAAGCTTACGCTCAGTATTATCTTATTCCAGTTATCATATTATGTTTATGTATGCCAACAAGGTTAGCTTTGGGTCACTTGCGATCCTAGGTCGTGTCCACGTCTCGGAGATAGCTCAGAGCGTAACATTTTCTATATGAGGAATATGTATTTATAATCTTTTGGAAACTTCACCTTCCTCGTATAAAAAAGGTAATTTGCCTCGATTTAAAATGAATTGCCACAAAAAATAGAAACAAGAAAAACCCTAGATAAGAGTGTTTTCTCCTGTAAGGAAGTTTTCAAACAATTAAAAATATTAAACTCTCTCCTATCAAGATGTAGGTTTCTGATCGAATAAGATGAATCATAGTCTATCTTAAAAGAGGTATAAAAAGATCGAGGTGGCATTAATATAAATTGACCAATAAATAAATAATGAATATCAAAATATTATGTCAAATAATAATAATATATAAACTAATTGATTCATGTATGATTTTACCATTTCGTTGTATTGTTGTCATATAACGTTTTCTTCCATTAACTTGATCAAAATGATAGACTAGTGGAACAACGTGAGAAAATTTTTTGCCCCACACTCGACATACAATTAAATTAGTATAAGATACCGTTATGTTTCTCTTAATTAAGCCGAATCATATATTATTTAAAGTGGGAAACTCTTATCTTTAAAGTTGAATTACCATTTTGTCACTTCACAAAATGAGGAGCTTCCCACTTTAACAATAGATGATTCAAATTAATGAAGAAAAACATAACAATGACTTATACTAATTTAATTGCTTGCCGAGTGTGTGCCAAAATATTTCCTCATGTTGTGCCACTACTCTATCATTTTGATCAAGTTCATGGAAGAAAAGGTTATATACTAGCCGCCAAACTCATCGGTGGCCCCCTAAACTTGGAACCAATTTTCACTTAGACACCTCACTTAGGGGATGTTCATTATAGACACCTCATGTAGGGTTCTGTCGTATCATTTTGACACTTATTGCTGACATGTAAAAGTGAGTGTAATACACTCAACAATAGCGCGTGAAAGACTTAATTTAGCCATTTTTTATTTTATTTTCTCTTCTTCTCCATTTTTGAAACCACCACCCCATATCTTTTTTTCAAGCTTAAATTCCTTCAATGGAGGTCAAATTTTTTATTTAAATTTGTTTTTAAGTCATTTTCTTCTTCTTCATTGTATTACTTATCTAATCTACCATCACCTCCCTCCATTTTTTTACCGGAAAAATGAATACCAACACCCATATTTCATATTTATTCTCTTTTCCTTTCTTCCTCTCCCTCTTTTCTTTCCCAAAAAATAATGCTAAAAAGAAAGAAGATGAATAAATATGAAAAATAGTAAAAGAAAAGAATTTTTTTTTTTGAAAAAGTATAGAAGAGATTTTGAGTGTAATGAATTAAGAGATTTTCTTAGAATAATACTTTAAATTTATTTACTAAATAGATATTATCGTTATTTTTAACTGAAAATAACACATGTAATTATTTAATTGATTGTTTGTCACGTCATCAACAAGTGTATTACACTCTCCTTTAGTTTTTTGTTTATTGCCAGAAAAGTGTCAAAATGACACAACAGAACCCTACATGAGTTGTCTAAAATGAACATCATGTAATTGAAGTGTCTAAGTGAAAATTGCTGCCAAGTTCAGGTGGCCACCGATGGATTTGGCCTATACTAGCAATAAATGGTAAAATCACACATGAACATATTAGTTTATATATTATTACTATTTGATATAATAATTTGATATTCATTATTTATTTGTCAACTAATTTGTATTGTGTTAAGTCCATTTTTTTATACCTCTTTTTAGGACCGGCTATGATCCATTCTCGTTCAATAAGAAAATCACCTCTTGATAGGAGAGAGAGGAACTTGCAATTTTTAGTTTCTCTGAAAAACATCCTTACAAGAGAAAACGCTCTTATCTATGGTGTTTCTCGCTTCTATTTTTGGGTGGGATTTCATTCTAAATTGAGGAAAATTACCTTTATTTATATGAGGAAGCTGTATTATACGCTTTTGAAAACGAATTTTAGTTACAACTCCATTACTCAGTAATACAAAAAGAAATAGTAATCAAGATTACTATTCGACCATTTAGTTTACAAAATAGTTAATACTTCTATTTCATTTATATCTTACTTGTGCGGACTCTTTACTTTTTATGTCGTATCCATGTCGACTTCTCTAAAAATAGACTATTTTTAGAAGTCCGGACACACACACGCTGACATTGTTTATATCTCAATGGATTATATGTCGGATTTATAAAATTGTTTTCATCGTCTGATGTCTGAATGAATTCTATGTCTATTTAATAAGATACTAGGTAAATACTAAATATTACTACCGGATACAATGACGATAAGCACAGGAGAATGGCCTTTGCCTCTCCCACATAAATGTACGACAATACTGAGCTATCTACTATTCCACTACCTTTTGATCTAGCGTCATATCATTATTAAGCCAAATTGAACAAGATCCCGATTTGTGCACTACTATAAATATCTACTCTACAGAAAAAAATACTTACCCCAATCTCTTTAGCCACCTCAGTTACATTACTTCTATCTTTTCTCCTATGCGTCTCAGTCCACATTCTGCCACGATCAACAGCGTTTTCCATTGCCATCTGAAAAATTTAAATTGTAAAACATTAGTAAATAGGTGAGAATATACCTAACAAAGCACATTATTTTTATACTGGTTTTGCTTCGACATCTATGCGAAAATATTAAATAAGTTGTAAATATACACATATATTAGTTAAACATACTATCAACGCAAGAACGAGAATTGCTCGTAGAGACTACAGACCTGCAGTTTTCTTCCTAATTCACCAACTTTAGCATAGAAAATACATACATAGAGCAAATAGACGCACAAATCCAACACATAATTCACAACTCTATCTTGTGATGTCATCAACTTCCTCACCATGTTCCGCATAGTGGATGCATTCACCATCTGTCTGTTACCAAGAAACCAGTCATTGATTGATCAGAGTGCGTAAGCCAAGCAGCTATAGGCTTTCCCATAGTAATACTCTTAATGAGATAATTCCGTCCACAATGACTCATCACTCATGAACTCATCCACAAATACTCAAAAATCAGAGGGCGGGGCCACATATAGTTACATTGTGTAGCTAGAATTACATTGTGTAGCTACAATAAAATTATTTTTTATTGTGTAGCTAGAATAAAAATTATTTTTTTTTATATATAATGCATATTGACACTCCTTGGCTTCTACGCGATTTTATTTCTTAATATTTTGACACCCCTTAAATAAAATTCTAGCTCCGCCACTGTCAGAAACTAAAACATAAATGAACCAAGGAACACTGATATATGAAATACATTAAATCACTACAAAATTATGAGGATACCTTTGTTGGCACTGGACCATATTTTCTATGTCTTCTAATCAGTTCCCAAAAGTGTGAAATTATATGAGCAAGTTTATAACAACTTAAAAAGTACAATGAGTCCAAACTAAAAAATATACATAAATCTTAACTATAGACCAAAAACAATGTAAGATCAAATAGGTTAATGTAAACTGATTTGCCATAAATACTCACTCAACGAATGGCATGACTTGCGGACAAGTGAGTACCACATATCGATGTGCTTGACGTTTCAAGTACTAATACATACTCTACATTATATCTTCTCGTGATGTAGGTTCAGGTTCTAAGCTTCCAGATCACGTTTAGATCGGTTTTCCATCTTCGGTTCGACAGTTACAATAGTGAGTCCTCATTCTTCGAGGACAAGTGATATGATTATTTACCTTCGTTTTACTTAAACTAATGATTCAAAGTTCATCTTCCACATATAAAAAAAAGTTGATTTTCCTTAATTTAGTATGGATCGCCATCCAAAATTAGAAGGGAAAAACACCCTGGGGATAGGAGCGCTTTCGTTTGAAAGAAAGTTTTTAAACAAACTAAAAATTCAAAGGTCCTCTTATTAAGATGGTGATTTTCTTATTGAACTAAAATGAACTATAGACGGTCCTAAAGAGGTAACAAAAAAATTGACTTAACGCAAATTAAAATTTTTCAGTGAATAAATAATGAATATCAAATAATAATACTATATAAACTAACATATTCATTCATGATTTTAAAACATTCCGTTGTATTGTTAACATATAACATTGTCTTCCATAAACTTCATCAAAATGATAAGTAGTGTGCGGGACTACATAAAGAGATATTTTGCCACACAATTGGCATACAATTAAATTAGTATTAGTATACATTATTTTTTCTCTTAAGTAAGTTGAATCATATATCAATTCAGTTTACTAAAGAGAAGCATAACGATGATTCATACTAATTTAATTGCATCGAGTGTGTACCAAATTATTTCCTCATGTTGACACTACTCTATCATTTTGATGAAGTTCACGGAAGAGAACGTTATATGCTAGCAATACAAACGAATGATAAAATTACACATGAACATATTAGTTTATATATTATTACTATTTGATATTCATTATTTATTTTCCAACCAATTCAATTATATTTGTGTTAAGTCTGACTTTTTCGGTTACCTCTTTTAGGACCAAACTATGATTCGTTCTTGTTCGTTCAAAAAATCTTTATAGGAGAAAGAGGAACTTTGAATTTTTAGTCCGTTTGAAAACTTCCTTACGAGAGAAAGCGTTCCTATCTAGGGTTTTTCTCCTTTCTATTTTCGGAAAACAATTGTTCATTCTAAATATAGGTCAATTACATTTTTTTAATATGAGGAAGATGTAATGATGGATATATTTATAATTTTATATAATTCAATCTTTAGATAATTAAAATACTATCATTTAATCAAATTCTTAATTTAGTAGAAGAGCAAGATGGTAATTCAATTTTTAAGATTAAAGCTTTCTACCTTCAAATTCATTCATATAAAACTATCAACACTAAAAGAAGCTTTTCCATCTTTTCCCTCGTGAAAATATAATCATCATCAACAACAACATACCTAATGAAATCCCACTTAGTAGAGTATGACAAGTGTGGAGAGTATGCAAATCTTACAACTACTTCGTGGAGATAAAGAGGTTGTTTATGAAACAGAGGAATCAAAACCTCATAAAAAAATCAGGTTCCATAAATCTATACTTTGCAGAGAAGCACTTAGATAGGGAACTCAAAGATACTAAGGTAAATAGCAAGATGTACTTGTCAACAATCATCAAAATTTCAAGGAGAATGACCTAAAGATGCTCTAATGAAAAGACTTACTACACATTGGAAACAGGAATTACTTTATTAATCCAACATTTAAGCTTACAGATTAACTTAAAGTCAAAACACAAAAAAAAACTTTCAAATGATTCCCTTTAATGCAGCAACAATACCCAGTAAAATCTCGCAAGTTGGGTTTAACAAGGATAGAATATAAGCATATTTTACCCCTAACTTGTGGATAAACAAATTCCGAATAAATAAAAGCACGCCAAATAGTTTGAAAAAGGGATACACATATGGGAAAATTAACAATAACAAAATAATGTGAAATAAACAACTAAATAGATGAGGTAGACCATAGGAATACTAAATCCTCGCTGCTATGTTTCATTCAGTACTAAATACAACAAATAACAAAATAAAATCACACATACAACAAATATTTTTCAAAAATTATCATTTGGGGTTTGCGATGCTTACTTGGAGAAGCCACGGAGTCTGTCCATTTCTCCCTCACTCGTCTTTCTCGTCTATGAACAACGGAAGACCTAACAAGTACAGAGGCGGGCTGTCAACATGGAAATTCAAATTGCATTTATGTTGAGTATGAAAAAGTATGGTTTACAAGTTAGGGTTTCTAAATTCAGTATGTGCTTAATAGATTTTTATTACTTATAACTATTAAGGTAATACAATTCCTAATAACTAAGCAAGTAATACAAGAGAAACAAATGACCTTTGAGCTTCAAACCAGCATCAGTAAGCTTCGAGCAGTGAAATAGACTGAGCGAATGAAGATGGGCTTGAGCTCTATTCATCAAGTTTTTAAGGATATCATTTGTGATGTTAGTACAAAATGGATGAACTATGTTAATATTTCTCCATAAAAGTGGATCTCCTACAACATCTTGTAAAGGCTTGCATAATCTTTTTACTACAAATAGGCCCCCCTCCCCCTCCCCCCTCCCCCCCCCCCCCCACCAAGCCTAAATAACTGAGGGACAGGCAACCAAAAACACCTGCAATGGATTACCTCCAGCCACACCATAAAGATCATTCACCATCCATCAGACCATGACCACCGTTCAACCCCTCTTTAAAATTCATCCCAATCGGCTCAAGATTTCCATCAATCAACTGGAAACCCGTACCCTGATGAATTCCCATCTTACGAATCAAGTTTTTCAACCTCATTAATTCTCATTTACCATAAAGCCAAAATCCTCTAACCAACTATTCATGGTTGAAAACCCCATCATTTGGTTACTACAGTCCATATCAAACGGATCTGAAGGCAACTTCATCAAGCTCCTCTTTTTACCAATTCAAACCCCAAAACATAGCAAATCCACCCCCCTTATCGAACTTGATCCTAGATGAGCTTCCCTCTCCTCGATTCCAGACCATAACATCCAGTCAAAACAGTCACCGCTCACTCACCTATGCCAAATCCACAAAAACAAACCCAACATTAATTAATCTTCAACAAAACCCTAAAAATCACAAACACAAACTAAACAGGAACACCAACTTGTTCCAGAAAACACGAAATTCAAACAAAAAAATGAAAAAATAGATAGATAACATACATGAATTTTCCCAAAAAGGGAAATGGTGGTATAAAGAGCAGCTACACCACCCAAAAACTAGAAGGAATTGAATGAAGGGCTTTTGAACTATTACGGTGGAGTGAATGATATGTAAAGATTAGGTTATTTGGTATTTATAGTGTGTTCACATCGATAACTTCTATGATGGACACAATGGGCTTTGTTTCAGGGTGTGAACGCCTGGGTCGAGATTTGGTGGGCTCATTTTATATTGAATTGGGCCTTCTCTAGTATCTGGGTTTTCCAAGATTGAGTTGTTTTGGTACGTAGAATAAAGATAACAATTTTGTTTGGAAAATTTAGCTATCTAGTCAAAAAAATCAACTTATTTAGTGATAATGTCCATACTTTAATAATATTAGTAAACATGTCAAAATGTCATTATTTTAAAAATAAATAATTATTATTATATTATTAATATTTTCTCTCTCTTTATTTACACCATTTTTTCTCTCTCATAAATTATATATATTCCTATATTTAAGTAATTAGATATATACTAATTATATTTTAAAGTTTCTCTCTCTTATATTAAGATTATTATTAATTTATATCTATATATTTATTACTAATCAATTCCACAACTTCCAAGATTTTTTTTCACTTTTATTGATAAAATATTTTCACTATCTTTATAACATTTTTTCAAAATTAATTATGCATTGATTCCCGAATTTTCCTTTTATATTTATTAATATTACACTTATCACATTCTCATATTTTAGTTGGGATTGTCACGTTATTTATCTTACACTCTCTTTCCAGAATTTTAATTGTGTTGTCACGTTATATGTAACCCTCTTTAATAGATAATTCAACAACTTCCAATGCAATATTTTCACTTTTATTAATAAAATATTTTCTCTCTCTCTCACGTTATCTATCTTACACTCTCTTTCCAAAATTTTAATTGTGTTGTCACGTTATATGTAATCCTCTTTAATAGATAATTCAACTTTCAATGCAAATTTTCACTTTTATTTATAAAATATTTTCTCTCTCTCTCTAAAACCCCTTTTCCAAAACTAATTCTTCATAGAACATCTTTGTTAATTTTCAACTCTTAATCTTCCATGATTTTTGTTTGAATTGCAAGTTATCTCTCTAACATTCTTCAACAGACACAACATCTTCAAATCCCCAGATTTACGCTTAAATTTCTTCAAACCCGAATTTTCCTATTTTACATAATTCTCTAGTAATTCCGTTTGAAGGTTTGATTTGGAGATTCACATTGAGTTTGTTATTATGTTCTTCATATGCTTTTTGATTACTTGCTTATTTTATTTTAATTTTTAATTTTTTTTATTTTGTTGTTCTTAAATTATTTTTTAGGGTTTCATAATACCAAATTCACTTTTCAATAGATGCATTCAAGAGAGTTACTAGAGGTATTGTAAAAAAATCACAGTTCTTCCGAGTTATCATAGTTTAATTTTTTTTCACTCAAGAAATCAATAACAATGTAGGTTCAGCCTCTAAGTCGAAGGAGGTTATACGAGGTGGAAAAATGGTTGAACCTGTCGAGGTGCAAAATCCCACAGAAAATCATGAAGTTGAAGAAGAACAATTTTTTGGAAAAGAGGTAACTTTTTTTTTGCATGTGTTGTGTATTGGAAGTGTATTTGGAATGTTTAGTCTGTTATAGTCTCTATGTATTTTTGTATTGAAAATTTTATTGTCGTTTATGTATTGTATTTTGTATTTTGTTCCTCTTTTTTGTATTAGTTGTCAATGTAATATAGCTTACAAGTTTGATTGTCAATTTACTATTATCGTATACATTTGTAAGTGTATTCGGAATTTTCATCTTGTTATAGTTATTATTTTTTTTTATTTTTTTCATAGTTCCAATGTTTTCTGTATTTACTATTATAGTTAGCATGTATTTCTGTATTTAATATGTTTATTGTATTTTTTATTTTTTTTATCAATGTAACAAATTTTATAAGTTTGATTGTGTATTTACTATTATATTTTTTTGGTCAATGTAACACATTTTATTATGTTGTTGATATTATTTATTTTTGTGTTTTATAGTTTTAATATTTTTTGTATTCATATATTTGGAAGTGTATATTGAGTTCTATTGATGTTTTAGTCAAGTATGTATTTTTGTAGTTCATAATTTTATTATATTTTTGGTATACATAGAATGAGAATTGTATATCGTATTCTGTATTACATCAGTATATATCCATAAATTCATTTCGTATTCTTTTTTCTTGTGTGTTAGTTATGTCAATGTACCACATATTTGTATCCATATGTGTTTTTTTTTTGTATGTTGTTGTAACTGTGTTGATTTTTTATTTATTATCATATTTTTTGTTCTGTTATTTTAGTATTATTTCATTTTTTGGAATTTAATATGCCAGGGGACTTCTCATGCTTGCAAAAAGCTACCAAAAAATGCACCCCACATTCACTATATAGTAAATCATGACATTAAGTACAAGTTGACTGACAAGCTTACACCGGAGCAGTATAATTATTTTTGTGAGAGTATGTATTTTGGTCAGTATATGAAAATCAGAAAACGTGTTGGGCAAGGTCAAATTCACAGGTGTTGTATGTCACTAGAAGTAGAAGCTAGTACTAATCAGGCTCTTGTAATCAAAGTAAATGCAGTTATTTTAAAGTTCACAATTAGGACATTTGCGATTATTACTGGATTAAACTACGTTGGTGTTGTAGAGAATTTCAAGTTTAACACAGAAGAACCTAACCGACTTATTGTTCAATACTTTGGTGGTAATGAGATCATATGTAGATCTGATTTGTTCGATAGGTTCAATGGTAAAGTTTGGGTTGACAATGATGTTGATGCGATTAAGTTTGCAATATTATATTTCATTCATATGTTTGTGTATTCTGGCGAGAAAAGATCATTGCGAATTCCTAGAATCCATTTTGATTTGGTTGAAAGTGGTCGGTATATGCATTATCCTTGGGACAGAAAAGCATTTGAGTGGTTGCTACAGAGTATCAACAAGGTGTTGACTACTGATGGTCAATATTATAGAATATGTGGTATGCCTGTTGTCCTTCAAATATGGATATATGAGTGCATGGGTAAGCGTCAGACGAATTTTGCACAGAAAATCAGTGACTGTATCCCCCGTATTCTAAACTGGCAAACAGTAGGAGCAAAACCCCTATTCAAAACCTTGATGAAAGACACATTCAATGATGGTAATACAGAGCTATTGTATATAATTCATGACATTGTACCCTTGTAATTTTATTAATTCGATATATATCTTTTATTATGTTAATTATTCTGTTTATTATCGTTTTCAGATTAAATGGAAGAATGTTGTGCCTTCCCTGACGGAAATCGCTGTTCTACAATTGCCTCCTGAAGGTGCCACATCGTGATATTGATGAACAAGCAATTTCTGGACAGAATTCAAATGAAGATTTTGTCAACCCACCTTCACCTTCAATGAAGGTTATAGGTAAAAGAAAAAAGGGGCAATCAGTATCACCCGCTAAAAGGGTACGAAAAAAAGGACTCAAATATCACAGATCAAATGGAACTGAATGAACAGATTGATCCAGTAGCGAACTGGAATGTGGAAAAAGCTGTAATTAGAAAAGTTGTGCGAAAGAAAAAAAATTGTGTTCTAAGAAGAAAACCACTCGCACTTGTGTGCCAACAAAGGATTCCCAAATACCATTTGTAAAAGTGTCTCATGAACAATTACTGAGGAATGAACTCTCTGAGTTACAAAAGGAGGTATATACTGTTTATACTTATTTTTTTTCAATATGTTTATTCAAATATTGCAATCTGTAAAATTTAATCATATTGTAACTGTTTCAGGTTAGAGAAGAGTTTAAAGACATACGGAAGTTGATAATGATAATTTTAATATCATTATGTCTACTTTGAAGGTTAAACAATATGCTACATTGTTATGTTTAAAAAAAATTTATTCTTTTTATTTTTTTGAATTATATGTTGTAATTTAATATTTACAGCACAAAAAAAACAATGACAATGCTGGTCAAGGATCACAACCTTTTACAAGTCCAATTTTATCAGAAAATCAAAATCAGGTAGACACAACTTATTTTAAAAATAATAGTTTATTCTGTTAGTATTCTGTATACTGTAATATATCTATGTCTAATATTAATTTTTTCCCTATATTTGTAAGTATTTTATTTCTTTATCCATGGTGATTAAATATATGTTGATTGTTTTTATATCAAATTTATTTTCAGAACAACATAAACAATCACAATGCTGCTCAAGGACGACAACATTTTACAAGTCCAGTTGCATCAGAAAATCAAAATCAGGTAGAG